ATTTGCAGACCTCTAACACCTAAAGAATAGATGTTAGTTCACATATGAATAAGTCATGATGCCCTTATTCTACTCTCTTGCATATTCCCTCCCTCCTCCACCATTTTATTGAGACCAAACTTTCAGCACTCTTCTCATTGATTTTTATTTTTTGCCTTAGTTAATGCAAGAAACAGTAACCTTGTCATCCTCGAGCAAGCTGAGAGAACTGTACCCAAAAATATAACTGCTTATAAAGTTCTGAGTTGTGATTTATGCCAACACGTTGAATCTTTTGTCTTGCATAATGAAAAGAGGTCTCTGTAAAGAGGTAGCTTGCTTTGTGTGCAGGAATACCTGGCATCTAGTGTTTACAAATGTTTACAGGAGGAAGAGTGATCCTACTTTCTAAAGGGTTCCCACACATGGATATTTTAGCTGTTGTGAAGGGTCTATAGGTCATAATCCATCTTCTGTATGTCTGTTTGCAGGTCGGTTGAGCTCCCTTCTGCAGCTTTAAACCCTGCAAAGGGAAACTGAAACTCTCTGAATAAATATCTTTTAGCTACTAAATTCTGACTTCTAGGAACTGCTTAACCCTCTTCCTGCTAACCCTTCAGACCAACTTTCCCTAGTAGCCTCAGGAAAATCTGGTGACCTTTCCTGTAATACCTGTTTGTGTGTGCCACCTTCTTGTCACTTCTGTCTCACTAGCCTGTTTTTGCAGCAAGTGGAGCAGGTGGTGTCACTTACAAATTGGAGAACTTCTTTTCGGTTATGGTGTATGGATGAGGTGTTAGGTCTCCTCTGTATGCAACAGGCCTGTGTTCAAGAAGGTAGCAAGGTGGCAATCTTGTCTTCTGAGGAGAACTAGTTAGCTGATTAATTCAACTATACTATGTGATAGAAAGCAAAACCTGCAATACTCTGCACTGATGGTTTGGTAATCCTGTGGAGCACAGCCAAAACTGGGAAGATACTGTTTCCTACACAGAGAATGAAAGGAACTTTGCACACCTGTCATGTTCTGTTCTGTCTCCAAACCCATAAAGAAGTGGCTTTCCTCTGGGCCGGTGTTTGCTACAGATTCATTTCTAAAAGCTAAGTTAAAAATAATCAAAGTGGCTATAAGGTGGAAAAATCGCTCTACAGAAAACTTCAGGTCTATAGTGCTGATTCTTTCGCATGCTCAAATGTCAAATCTGTGCTTTCATGTAATGCAGTGACACTTACATGAACTTTGTATTTAGTTGATGGTGAGGAGATTAGCTCCAGCAGCATGCAACGTGGCACAGACAGCAGAGCTCTTAAGAAGCTGCTGGTGTGGTTGGTCCACACAGCATGCAGTAGTGCTGTGGCTATGCTGGAGGTATTCCTGTGAAGTTAAATCTAGGTTGAGTGCATTCATATGACTGTCAGTGAGTCCTTTGGCAACTGGTGATTTAAAAAAAAAAAGAAAAAAACCAAACACAAAATCTTGCCAGCATATTCTTATTCCTTTTTCATAATCGCAGCTTTGCAGGAAAGTAATGAGAAATATTAGAAAATATAAAAATACATTTATAAAAATATTTCATATTCTCGCATATAACCCAAACCATCTAGTTTATATAGCAATAGAATTATGACACAGTAATAGATATGCCTCAACAATTCACTTAGTAATTAGTCTTGGTTTTAATATCATTAGGAGCATGGTTACCTAACATTTAATTTTAGTTTTAGGATTAGTTTTAGGGTTACAGTGAGGTTGACCCTTTTTTTAAAAAAAATCAGAATTCTTCATGTAAAACACTGAATTAACAAAGTATCTTACTGTTTGCTGTCACTCCTTCCTCAATATGGATTATCATCTGACCCCCTAAGCACCTTCCAGTCTAACTAATTAACTCAGCCAACTGTTTTGACTTTTAACTAGTAAACGAAACAAACACTATTTTCTGGGTCATGGGAAAATTGCCTTTAATGTCTTGCCTTGCAAAATCGCAGGTTTCCTCTCGAGAGCCCTGTGAAGAGGCCAAAACTTTAATCTGCCCAACATACTCTCAATAGTAACCAATATTTGGTGCCTGCTTGAAGCCTTGTCAGAACTTCTCAACAGCAGTGTTAGTCACCCTCAAGTATAAGCATCAGGCAGCTGGAAAAGATTTGTGCAGGGTGGACTGAACATGGCAACTCAGAAGCCTTTTTTGAGGAACATGTCTGGTCAGTTGCCCAGCTTCTTCTTTGGTTGTCACCACAAACCAAAGGTCCAGTCAGAAATACCACATCGGTTTATTATATTATATTATATTACGTTGTTCCACACATTTAAGGATATAATTAACAGGTTCATAATTCTGATTTTTTTTTTTTTCAGATGTAGAGATGCTTCAGTCCAAACCAGACACTCCAGTTGCTGGAGATGAAGTTTCTTTAACTACAAAAGACTCCATGCTCCGCAGGTTTTTAGAAGGTGAGACCTGTTTGGAGGGGGGGATGGCAGCAGCACAGTTAAAGCAATTAAATAGAATTTGAGATTTCTCGTTCATCTCTTAAGGATAGGAGATAGTCCACACTGCTTGCTTCAGACAAAGGAACAATTCTCTTTAGTACTTTGTAGACTATCATAAATAGCTTTTGGAAACCAGTGCTCTGTTTGATTTGTTAACTATAGTATGTCAGTTAACTGGAATTAATTAAACTAACTGTTCTTCAAGTTCTTAAAAAGAGTTAGGAGGTTTTTCACTATTTCTTCACCAAAACAGGTGGTACAGGTTTAGTGGCAAACAGTTACGTGCTACTAGATGTTCATGACTTTATCAAGTCAAGTCCTGTCCTGAAGGGCTTTGGCACACTAAAGTCACTGCAGAACTGGATGCTTTTGCCTGTGAAATGGCCATCTTGGTAAAAATGTGGTACATAATGCATCTGGAGAGATCCAGTGTTCAGTGAAGTGACCAGGTTGTTATTCTTACAAACTGTACTCTGTTGTAGGCGGTAGCCTGGATGTGCCAGATTCAGAGGAAGTTTACGAGCCATGTGGTGAAGATGTATACTACCCAGTGGAACAAGATACTTTTCCACAGGAAATGGCTAACAGACCTCCAGTCCCTGTTCCAAGACCAGAGTCTAGTTCTCCACAGCCAGACAATGAACTGTACATCTCCAAAAGTGAGTTGGGTACCAGTGGAAATGTAGACTAGTCAACTGTATTATGGCATTGACATGGGCTTCAGTTGCCAAATAAATGCCAAGAAAGCCTACACTTTTTGAGATTCCTGTATTATTTGACTCCAGAGTTGGACCACCTTTGGGATCCAATTTCATATATTTTTCATCTTCTGTTTACTCTGAAAATATGGGGATATTATATCTCAAGATCGTGGCCTGAGCTTGCTCTTAATGAAAGAAGTAGGATGACAGATTACCCCCAAATGGTATAAACAAATATAACTACAAAGGAAAGATCCTGATATTATAAGGACACAATCAAGCTAATAAATTGAGACATTGCTGCTCTGTAATAGTATCATTGATTCAATCACATTTATTTAGGGCATGATCTCCCTCTGAGATGGGGTTTAATTGAAATTGAAGAAGATTGTGCCTCTTAGTTTGCTAGACAGTTTTGGAAATCTTGGTCATATTTCACAAACATTCTCACAAGAACCACAGTACCATGTGAGAGAGTAATTTCAGTGACTTCTCCTTCCTCCCATGGCAGGATTATGGGGAGACCATGTCCAGATTTCTTTTAGAGGTGACTGGGCTAAAATTCTTCTGTATAGATATTTGTTTTCTTTAATGGACTTAGTAGGGTAACAGAAGCTGTAATGCACTACAGAATTGTGTGCTTCCCATATTCATCCTTGCTATTTCTGTCTTCATGAGATGCATTTCAGTATCTAAAGAATGTTTGTTTTGCAGTTTTTGCACAGAAAGCTCAAAGACCTGAGAATCTTTATGTCCCTAGAGGAAGGATTAAGAAAGGTAAGTCAGAAGTTCACTCTGAAAATCCTTCCAGTAGTCCAAAAGCAGATCTGCTGAGATAGCTTCATTTGCGTGAAATATGACAGAATAGACTGTTTTACAAAGCTCTGGGGATAATAGTCCTTTATGAATGACCCAACCTTTTTGACCTCGTGTGACATTGGAAACTTTTATAATTATATCCTTTTATCATGTACTCTACATGTATCCCCTGTCTTGGAGTTTATCCTCAGTCAGGATCATAATGGTCATTGAAGTCCTTTTTTATGATGTGAACCATATTACTTCATGCAAATGATGTCCCTCTTTTAATGGTCTGTATATAGCCACTCCTTGTTAATCATTATCCCATGATTTCACTTCTAGTGAACTGATTGCCAATGCTCTCTGCACCTCCAAACCTCTGTCCTCATACTTTCACTTCTTATCCTGTGCACTATCAGAGTGCCAGGTACCACATCTAAGCTTTTATCTCATGTGTCGGGAACTCCTCTTTATGTTACAAATGAGTTACAAAATGCCAGCATCAGTAGAATGAGTTTTCAGTTTCTGGACTTATGCTGTACAAATTACCTAGGAAGAGTCTAGGTTTGTGACTGCCAAGGTGAAAGCTCTGTTTTGTGGATTGCTGAGGAAGCTGAGCACTTTAAGGAATACATTTTGTGATATTCACTTAAATTATGTTTTTAAGAACAGAGATTATCTCCGGGAAATATCTGTGTACAAGGCTGCCTCTCAGCTGGGCTTTTAGCCCTAAGGAGTAGCAGGATGGCCCAAGAACAAAACACTTCTTAGAAAACATTCAGTCTTTAATATTGATAATTTTTTTTTGTTTTGCATCTCTGCTATATCAAGGGTGCTTGAGCTCTTTCTGTTCAGTGAGGAAGGCAGATGCCACAAGTTCCATAATACTTTTGGTGGTGTTCTCTCTTCAGAGACAATAGTCAGGCCTGTAAGGGACCTGTCTCAATCAAGCATATATGATCCATTTGCCGGAATGAAAACCCCAGGCCAACGGCAGCTGATTACATTACAGGAGCAAGTGAAAATGGGCATACTCACTGTGGATGAAGCTGTACTTCATTTTAAGGAGTGGCAACTGAATCAGAAAAAGAGATCAGAATCATTCCGGTTCCAACAGGTACAGACTTACTCTACTGTTTAAGAAATACATCTGTCTCTCTAGGTTATATCACAAGCTGTTTCAATGCAGGTACATTTCTTTCCCAGTTGGAGCAGGAAGACTGCTAACTCTGCTAACTAGCAGAGTTCTCTCCTGAAATGGAGGGGCTGTTCCCAGGCAGCAGCAAGCAGGTAGCTGTTATGCAGATCTGTTTGTCTTGCAGTAATACTGTTAGTTTTTGGAGATCTGTGCACTCCGAATTGGACCAAATCCAGTTGGCTGAATTACCTTTCCAGAGGTCACCTAGCAGCTACCTGCTGGCAGGGGACTTCTGGGATGAACATTTAGCTTGTCAGTTCTCATCCATTTCAGATCAGTGAAGACTGTGTCCCAGATGGTGTGTTGGCTGTGAAGTCCTAGCTGGTAGATGGTCTGATCCCTCCCTGGGTGTTTGTTGATGGCTCCAGGACTGTTCTTTGCAGCTGGGCAAGGTCTAGCAACAGTCATTAGTAAAAGCAGGGTGTTTGGGTGGCTTAACTGAGTGAGGGAGTCATTTTGTTGGCAGCAGCATAATGACTGATGTAACTAGCAGTCATAGTTTACAATTTTCATTCTTAAGTTAGAGGCTCCCTCTTTAAAACCACTGCTTGCTTCTTTTGGAGCCTTTTGTTTGTGCTGTGGCAGTCTGCTCTCACACTTGAGGTGCCAGTCTCCAGTGTGTGACATTGTTTTGGAAGCTGTCAGAACAAAGTCAAGGCTTTTCTCCTCCTCATTCTCACTTGGAAGGGTCTTCTTTACCTGGAAACAGTCAGAGGAATCCCTTCTCCTGTCAGTGAAGAACACAGTGCTACTTTAGTAGTTGTCTGTAGAAGAGATGAAGTGGTACGCTCTGTGCCCCATCCCACGAGCAGCTTTCAAAGTCTCTGCTTCAAATCTTGCTTCATGGTACAGCAGTTGCTTCACTTGCTTTTCCACTGATTCCACCATATTTCCTCTCAGATATGTACATATTTCCCTACTGAAAAAAGTTGTCTTTTTTCTACCCACCTTTTCATACTGTAAGGTGCAGTATGCTGCCACACAATGGTGAAGAGACTTTGCTCCCAGTTACATTTCCAGGTGTCCCCTCTTGCTTCACTGGGGATGTCCTGAATTCTTTGAGTTGTCCCTCACACTCTGGGATGCGTGGCAGCCTTTTCTGTCCCTGCAGTCAGAATTACCTGTTTATTAGTACAGAAAGGACTTTGCAGTTAGTTGATTGTGTGTCTTGTTTCTGTGCCAATGTCACAGTGAAAACAGAAAATAGAGGGAGTTCTACACCCAGTGTGCTGCTTATCTGCAACTGAGTGTGTGAACTTGACCTTAATGTACACAATGAACATCTAAAAAATCTTGGCTTCTGAAAGGCACACATGGGTTTCTGAAGGGAATAGATTAAAACCTGTTGACGTGGTTTGGACTTCAGCCAGGTCTAGCAGGCTTTGTTACAGCTTGGCTGCAAAGTTAGATGAAATATAATATTAGTTTTGTCAGAAAGCTGCTCATCCTCCTTTAGCCAAAGCCCTGAAAAACATATCTTGTGATGTTTCTAGGAAAATCTGAAACGTCTACGAGACAGCATAACCAGGAGGCAAATGGAGAAGCAAAAAAAAGACAAAAGTGCAGGTAACAGTCTCTGATTCACACATTCTCTGGTAATGAAGCACCTAACCATATTAATAGGCTCTTCAGGCAGAAATATGTCCATGTATATTGTATTTCTGTGATATTTTAACATGCACATCCATGTGCCAGTTGGCAAAAGCATAGGGAAGTTTCTTTACTCCTCAGTTTCACAGACAAGGAAAATATGCCTACATCTGTGGAGTGCATCTTGATTCATTCATGTATAGTTATGATTGCCCTCATGTGATTTGTGTTTAACTTTGTTCTTAAGTGCAAAACTGTCTCTCAGAGGCTATAATTGCATAGATCCTTCTGAGCTGTTCATTTTCCCTTCCAGATTTAGAAATTACAGTACCCATTCGACGTTCTCATAATACTTTGGGGAGACCAGAATGTGGAATATATGAATACACCCCCAGGAAAAACGTTTTTCCACCAAAAAAGGAGTTAAAGCGAGGAGACTGGAAAACAGAAAGCACATCCAGCACAACAAGTAAGCAAGCCCTGAGTGTCACCCTCTCTACAGGAAAGCTGGATGGAAAACACTTCCCCAGCCTGACCCTCGAGTCAGCTCAGGGGACAGGACTTCTGTTCCTGAATCCCAGCACTGACACTGCCACCCCAAACCCTGCATGCCTCAGGTTGACTGTTCTCAAAATGGTAAAAGCAACTCCGGGTGTACATCAAGTGGTTTGGGCATCTTGTGTGTGCATCTCTGCAGGAGAAGAACCTGAAAGCTGAGCAAAAGATTCCCTTGAGTCTTTCTGGGGAAGGCATACCACCTGTCTGCAGTTCTGAAAAGTAGATGGCAGCTGCTCTCTTATTGAAAAGGATGCTCCCGTGCTGTGACTGCCAGCAGGCTGTGTGCTCTTCTGGCCTGAAGGGCATATTCATATTTCAGGCTGGAAACCAGTCTCTACATGTCATTTCCTCAATTGTTGTAGAAAAAGGACAGCATTTTTCATTGGTAACTGTGGGACCTCTTGAGTGACTTGGACAGTCAGCACATTTTTATTATCTTTGGTTTTCATTAGGTTTAATTCGTGCAAATTAAATCCCTGCATTCTTGCTCTTATTGCAGACTGAGCAATTCTTACAGAAAGCATTAGGATCATTTTGGTCCTCTGAAAGGAAAACTGAGTCCCAGTGAGATTACTGCCTTTGACTCTTGGCAAGATATAGCTGGCACACATCGAGAATAGGTGCCAGAGGAAGCTGACTGAACCAGTAACTTGCATACAAGCAGTTGTGAGAGAAATGTTAAGAGTCTGCAGAGTTCTCTGTGTGCAGCTTGGTGCTCTTTCTCATAGTATGACTGTGAGAATGGACCATACCACAGCATTTAGCACTCTTAAGTGCTGCTGTTTGTACCAGCTGATAAAGAGAGTTATGTTACCAAAGCTAGTAGGGAGGAGGACTGCATCTTAGGAGAAAACCTCTAGCTACCATTTCAGTATAGAGGTTTCTGAACATTAGTGTCTCAGTATTTCACAGTCCTATAGACCATTATCTGTTTATGACTGAAACCAGCCATAACAGTGTAGGATATGTTTGTGAGTTGCTGTCACTTTTGGAGATGGCATGACTGATTGCAAAACCAATCTGTCCTCTGAGTCCATGACAGTTAAATGGGTTTGTATAGATGGTTGCTGAAGGTCGTATGAACAAACTTGTCATTTTAGCTTGGAAACAGACTAGGGAACATTCTTGCAATGAGTGAGGGTTGTTGTGAGAGGAGGTGGTAAGCACCTATTTGGAACAATAACCTCTCAAGCAGTCACTTATTCCAGTAATAAATATGTGACAGTGCTCAGAGCTGTCTACCTTCATGCAGTTGTTAAAGATATGGGGACTGATAATTTAAATATACATAAATGCTGGGTGTGTAACCCTTGTGAAAATATTTGCCTGACTTGCCAGGTGATATTGGCACCAGATCTTTTCAGTTAAACCATGCTTGTGAGTATTTAACAGAAGACTGGATCTAGATAGGGCAGAAATCTTCTAGAAAGAAAGCATAATTAATAGCGTGGCCCTGTGGTTTGTGTTGTATGAAATCCTGCTCTTTGGATCCTGAACATGTGAAAAATAACAGTGGAAATAAATTAAAGAAGCATTAAATTATGTGTGCAAGAGTTAAGCATGAGGTTAAAAGAGCCCTGAGTTAGTGATTTGCAGTTAAATCACCAGAATTTAATAATCAGTTTGTTTTGTCTTGCTTACTCACTCTAGGTAGTGCAAGTAACCGCTCCAGCACTCGGAGCATATTGAGTGTCAGCAGTGGGATGGAAGGGGACAGTGAGGTAAGCTCTCACCTCTGCTATATACTTCTGTTCTTAAGTACATGGCTTTGTTTTCATGCAAAAAAAAGGAGCTCGGAGATGGCACTGCATTTGCAGAAATGGAAAAATGTAGCCACTTCTGTTGTGAAGCTAGCAAGAACCAAATTTTGCTGGTCTGTAAACACTTCTTTTTGTTTTGTAGGACAACGAAGTCCCAGAAACAACTAGAAGCCGCAGCCCAGTTGCCCACCAAGCAGAGAGGCTGCCTTTCCCAGAAAGGCCTCCCAGAGTGCCTCCTCGAGGTGCAAGCAGGTAAATCTAAAAGGCAGCTCAAAAATGAGTTTTCCCTGAATCCATATGGAAGCCTTGGACAGAAAGTGAGGCTGGCAGCAGGGCAGGAAGCAAGTGTGTCTTTGAACAAAATCTACCAGACTCTTATCTGTCCAACACACACTGTTAGGAATTGTAAGATCCTTGTTTCTCATCTGTAATACCTGGAGGTATTACACAGTTTCCTAGTTGGAAACCTCACAGTTTCCTAGTTGGTAACATTCCTACTGCAGTGCTTTCACTGAGGTTCATGCATGGCACCACTAACTTTAACTTGTAAACATTCCAAACAGGCCAACTGGTGCAAATCTATGAAGTCCAAGCCCCAGAAAGTTATCTCAGTACAGATACTAATAAAATTCTCCAACTGCTAAAGCAGTAATTACCACTGTGTGGGTGCAGCAAGTTCTGTATGTTGGCTTGGCTCTGGCAAGGAATATAGTTGGAATTTATCTGTAGTCTGTTGGAAAAAAGACTTAGAATCTTTTCATCTCTTCCTATTGCTTTTCATACAATGTTCAGGAGAAAGCTACCACACTATCAAAGTTTTACTCCAACCAAGTATTATAGTATCTCTTTACAGTAATAGTAGAATTACTGCAGATGAAGAGCAGAAGAAATAGCTTTGACAGGAACAGGGCTTTGGCAGCTTGGCATCTGCTCTGTTGCTGAATCATTGATAGCCTGTTTTTCTTCTTATATGACTATTGCTTGTACAGTATTCTCACATATGATGTTATTGCATACAATGTGTTGTTCCAGAACTCTATTTTCTACTATTTCTGCATGCATTTATATTCTCTGTCTTTTTATAGGCCTGTAAGCTGTGAAGACTTTTATCCTCCACCTGTACCACCAAGAGGTCGCTGAATTTCTCAACATCTCTGGAATATGAGATTTTTTTTCTGTTTATACATGTGTTTGTACAGATATTTTTTGGCTGTCTTAAATTATTTATAAGCAGGACCAAAATGTTTTCATCCCCTTCCTCCTCCCTAAAGCTCTGGTGACTTTCCCCATGATTTTCACTGAGACTTCTTGGCCTTCTATAACATTTTTTAGTTGGAAGAATTTTGGCGCTTTGGGGCTTCATGAAAAAGTATCATGGTTGGGAAGGAGAATGCTGATGTGTGTCTTGGGAGCCCTGCATCAACATGAAGTTTCCTTTTGACCAAGAAAGCACACGTGTCCTTTTAAGAACTAAATGCTGATAAGCATTGTTACTAAAACCCTCAACATGGTCTACAAGGGCTTGACTGGAAAACATACTTGAAAAACTAAAGAAAATGAGTTGTTTGAAGAATGCTCATGACAGCAGGAGCAGGTGAATATACTGCTGTTAGGCAAAACATTTTGGGCACAGATATACTGACCTTTCAGAAGGCATGGCGTCCCCCTCCAGCAATCATTAAACCACGGGAGGATGAAAAATTGTCTGTCTTGAAGAATGCATTTTGCATACAGCCTTGAAAATGCCTTTCCCTTCCCTCCCTGAAGAGGACAGACATTAACAAGGGGTTGTGTGTGCTGCGTTTAACATGAAAATTTCCAAGGTAGTTGGTAAGGAACCTGCTGGATCACAAACCAACTGTACTTAAACTTTTTTTGTGGAGGGGGTGGGTATGGTGTAACAAAATCACATGACTGGCCTCTCAAATTAGAGGAAGGAACTGGCGGCAGTACTGTGTTCTGTATCTCTTACATGTGGTCATCATAGAAGCAATATGAAGGCATTTCACTTCATGCTCAGAAATAGTTCAGTGAGTCTCCAGTTATCAAGGCACACACCTCACAAATACCAGCTGTGTTTTAGTTGGCTGCAGTGGAAACAGGCAGCCTGGGGGCTGGACTCTGCTTGCTCTACGGTTCCTTTCTAGCAATGTGAATCCACAACAGCTGTGTCCAGCCTTCTTTCTGCCTGAGGGCTTACAAACTTAAGGACGCTTCCTGGTTTGGCTCTCTTCCAGACCTTGAAATCTTCTGTGCATATCCTGGCCCTTGGGGCAAGTATAGGTCTCTGGTTGTCCAAGAGTGACACAGATGGGAATTCTTCAAGATAACAATCAGGGCAGAGAATTAAGCAACATTACTTACTTGGTTTTCAAGCCATTCTCCCTCTCCCAGCCCTGAAAAAGACATAAATACACCTGTGTTAGGTGAGCCCTCAGATGCAGGTAGGACACATAAAGCTTCTGTCCGATCAGGTCACAGAGTTGCAGTTCCTTTCTCTTGCAGGGTGGCAAACCCAATGTGTGAAGCTGCAGGAGTGACAAGACAGCAACTGTGACTCAACCAGCACCAAATAAAGGTGGAGAAGCCCCTGCTGCTTTCAGGGATATAGACATATGCTAAATACCATCTATGCATTAAGATCACAGTGTATGACTCCAAATGCAGTTTATATACCCTCTCCTTTTGATTGTAGAGGGGTGTGGGTGTTGTGCTGCAAGCCTATAGCTACAGAGGCATCTTTCTGTTTGGGTTTTTTTCCTTATTTAAAGGACCTCAGTGCCTTCTCCAGTAACTCTGGCACTATAGACTCTCACTGACAGTTTGCTCTTTGTTCACAGTTGTCAGGGGAACGGTGAGGTGGGAGCTGCCTTCCTGTGCTCCCCTTTGAATGAAACAAGGTTTCCACCACTATTAGGTCAAATTGGAAGCAGGGAAGGAGGTTTTGATGCTGAAATGAGGAAAATAGTAGCAAGGATAAGTGAAGGAATTTGGGATAAATGAAATAAACCAAAAGAGGACATTCAGCAGCTTGATTGTCTTCAGCTGTCCCATGCTTTGGTTTGCACACAGTTCCCTGGTTTTGTTTAAAAATTCCCCATCTCCTTAGTGCTGGCTGCAGCTGTGTCCCAGAGCTTGGAGACATGATGTGATAAGAGGGATTTATCTGCTTCCACATCTGTCAGACACAGCATAAGGTAAAATTGTAGGATGTGGGGAAAACTGTAATAAGGCAGGAAATTAAGAGAAAAATATAAAAGTGTATCGTGCAGATTTCCTTTCAAAGCTGTTGGACTGAAGCAGTCCAGGGATCCATCTTTCCAAGCTAGTTTTTAATGTACCGTACTTAAGGGGTTGCCTTTGCACAATCCTGATAACATGTCTGTGAACTGGATTTTTATTGTTAGTGCTGTGGTGAGATGGTTTATATCTGAATTGCTGAAAAGCAGCTCATAAGTAGCCTTTCAGTCCCTGTCTCATTTGAAGCGCTGATACTTCCTTACTCTGACCTGACCTATCATGCAAAATCAAATGCTAGTGGGACTCTGCTTTGGAGGAGAGGTGAGCTGGGACAGCTGGACCTGAGGCATATTATAAATGCATTCTGTTCAAGCCCCTTCTGCACTGCCTAAGGGAGGGAAACTGAAGATGCAGCTGTAGTCTCAGCCATTCATGCCTCACTTCTGCTGGATTAATTAGAGATCTCACTGACCAGCAATCACCGCAAAACTATCACCCTATCAAGGAGAAAAGGAACAGCACTAAAACAGCTTCACTGTTAAATGCAGGTAAACAATTGGGATGCAGGCATGAGTTCCAAGTCTCTTGCAGGCCAGCAGAGATGCCCCCTGCTTAGCCACCAAAGCGTATGTTCCACAAAGGTTGGATTTATGTAGTTGCTTTAAACCTCTTACATCTTAACATATGGAGTCTTTGTATCTGTAGACTCCATTTGTGCTGGTGAGCACGTGGTGCATGTTGCTTCCACCTGGGATAAAAAGTGCTGAAACTGAAGCTCAGAAGAGACCAGAGAAGAAAACTGCGTGCAACCAGATTGTTGGTTACTCAAGAATATGCTTGGGAGGGAGGGAATGAAGAGTGTTTCTGATGGCCATTAGAGTTCAAGGACTGAACAGATAATAAAATTGCTGGTAAAAGTTAAGTGGCCTGGCCAGCTGTGGGGGTATCAACCAATTCACCAAACTCACCTGGCAGCTGCTGGCCCAGAGAAAGTGTTTGCTCTTTGTATAACATGCCTTGAAAACCCTGCTGCAGCAGATGGCTCTGGCTGGCCCTGTTGCTGACTGAGGCTTAAGTACTGAATAAACTGAAGATGCTGAAGCCTCCTCTCTCTGTCTCCCAAGGGTAAGCTACTCTGTTTTGGACTGGGATGCAATGACTAGAAAGAAACATATGGTGTTACCAAAGCTGTCTAAGTTTTCTTTGTGTGTGTGTGTAATATAAGCAGGGCTTTTGCATAGGTTTTGGCAAGTGTCTCTGCCTGCAGGGACCTTCTACCAAAATAGGCAGGATATGGTAGATGCTCTATCTGGAAAAGGCTTTATATAAACGCATCTTGTGAAATATGTTCACGTTGGTAGACTGACTGTGTAAGACCACAAAGAGAAAAGCTTTTAGTGTAAGTATGGTGGTCAGTGGTAAACAAGAAAATCTGTTTTTGCATCATTCCTACAAAGCATGCATGGCAGGTACCAGCAGAGCAGTTCCTGCCTTCTGCTTGTGTCCCTCATTGTCTATTTGTTGGCTTGTGCAATATTTGAGAAGATGGTGTAGCCCACCTTTTTTTTTTAATATTACATCGGATAGCCTCTGAATTTTTTTATTGTATGTAAATTTTTTTACAGTATGTTCAGTTTAAAAGTTGTCTGATGAATTAATCCTTAATACTGTGAGCTTTTTGGATTGGGGGATTTGTTTGGGGTTTTTTACTTCGGACTTGTAGCTTGAGGGACTTCCAAGTTCACAGGCAGGTTTGCAGGCTTCATCTTAACCAGCACTGATGGAAACCCTCTCTTAGGCAAGGCCCGGGTGTGGCTGTGTCGCCTCAGTGCCCACCCTCGGCCCCTAAAGCTCCTGCAGCTTGTGCGAGGGGTGTGGAGGGTGGGACCCCGTATGATACAGAATCAATTAGGTTGGAAAAGACCTGTGAGAGTCCAGCCTACGACCGAACACCAGCCTGTCAACTACAGCACGGCACTAAGTTGCATGTTGAGTCTCTCCTTAAACACCTTCGGGGACGGTGATTCTACCACCGGTGGCGCTGGGCAGCCCATTCCAATGTCTAATCACCCTTCCCGTGAAGAAATTCTTACTAATGTCCAATCTAAACCTCCCCTGGTGCCGCTTGAGGCCATGTCCTCTCGTCCAGTCGCTGGTTGCCTGGGAGAAGAGCACGACACCCACCTGGCTACAGCCTCCTTTCAGGTATTTTTACAGCGATAAGGTCTCCCCTGAGCCTCCTCCAGGCTACACAACCCCAGCTCCCCCAGCCGCTCCTCCCAGGACTTGTGCTCCAGTGCGTACTCGCATACAGCCCTGCGCCGCGATGTTCCCAAATAACTGTAGATTATTTCATCGGTCAAAATGTCACGATTTTATCAGGCGTAATTAAACCGGGTAAGAACAGACTGCGCTCACGCTGGAGGCCGCAGTGCCCCCGCCGCCCACGGTGCGCGGCGCTCCGGGCCCCGCCCGGCCCGCTCTGTGCCCGCCCGCGGCCCCTCCCCGGCGGCGGCCGCAGCGCTCGGCGCTCCCGGGCTCCCGTAGCGCCCCCGCGGTTCCGGCGGGCGGGCGGGTGACGTGGCGGGCGGGGCGGAAGTGTCGTCGGCGGCGGGCGCGGGCCGGTGCCGCGGCGGGGCCTGCTGGGGACGCCGAGGCCCGAGATGGCGGCGCCGGGGCTGCTCCTGCTGCTCCTGCCGCTCCTGCCGCTGCGCGCCCGCGCCGACGAGCACGAGCACACGGTGAGGCGGCGCCCGGCTTCCCTCCGGAGCGGCGCTCGGGCCGCGGCCCCGCCGCCCGGGCAGCGCGGCTCGGCGGGCGGGACGGGGGGCGACGGGCCGCGGCCGCGGGAGGAGCGGGCGGGTCCCGCCCCGCGGGGCTCCCTCCGCGCCCCCTGCGCCGCTCGGGCGGTTGGGGTTGCGCGGGGTCGGGCCCCGCTCGCCGGTTCGCGTGAGCGGGGCGCTCGGGACGGGGCCGCCGGGCTCTCTGATCCGGTTTGCACATCCTTGTGCGGCCGGGCGCGGTGTCCCACCTTTTCCGGGAGAGATAAACGCCCCGGCAGGTACGCGGGCTTTGTTTGGAGAGCGCTGTTTGCTCCTCCCGGGAGGATGTTTGCTCTCGCTGCAGAGCACAGCCCCGCTGTGACAGGGAACACGCTGCGGGGGACAGCTCGCCTTGGGAGAGGGGGAGATAGCTGGGAATGGGCTGGGAAGTGAGGGCAGGATGGGAACACTGGCACGGACTCCTCAGGAAAATGGTGATACGATACTGTTGACTTGAGCGCTCACTTATTGGGGTGAGGATAGTTTTTGTTAAAGTGCTTGCAGTATAACCCGAAAAGAATCTCTAGGAAGGGCTTCATCGGTTTCTGGTTTTACATCAGTGTTATTTCCCATTGCTTTCGGTGTGGGAGGGTGGAAGTCTCTGTGATGAGCTGAGACGTGATTTTGGAACGAGACTTTGCCAAAAACCATCCTCATTTGCTCCAAGTGGAGTGTGTTAAGAGTGTGGCTGTGATTAAACAGTGTCTGTCTGGCTGTCAGGACTTTCAGTGCTCCTGAGCAGCCTGGCTGGTGAGCACTTGCTCAGTTTCTTAACACAGCTTTCTCTAGATGTGCTGTGGTAAACTTACTGAGATTAACGGTATTGACAGTTTTTGTATAAGCAGTAGTTAATTAGTTGCCCTATTACATGGATTTTTGAGGAATTGAAAACTGCGTACGATTGTCTTTATTTTTTTTAAAGAGAAAGGGATTTATCAGTGCTGCAGTTAATGACAGAAAAGTTAAGCTAATTGAGTACTTTCAAGGAGCGGATATTCTTTGAACAAGCTTAGGTCCCAGTTTTGTTGCTGAGACTGTGTTTTAGGGTTAGTTTTCTGCTGAGGTGAG